GCCAACCTGAGCCCAGGCCTCAGCTCCACGTTTATCCTGGTTTTGCCTGCACACACACAGAGGAGAAAAGGAAGGAAAGGCTGTTCTATTAGCAAACACCACCGCAGGCTAGTCTAACATGGCCCTGAATTGCATTTAATCAAATTAATGTCACTATTCTAAATTATTTGTGGACACCCTGTACTTCCACCACCATCATTTTTCTACCACTTCTCCCCAATTATAAAAAARTAAATAAAATCCCCCAGAGGAGCCCAGGGCACTACATGCAGAGAACAGATTTGCCTTTCTGACGCTGTCTCATTGAATCAGCATTAGCTGCTTTCCACACACTCCATGGGAATCCAGGCTTGAACAATAAAATAAAAGCCATAAAAAATGGTTTATGTTCTCTTTTTACCTGCTCATTTGTGAATCAAAATATCTTTGAACTGAATAAAAAGTTCAGCTCCAGAACACTGGTACAACTGCCAGAGCACGYGGGGTTTGCCCTTCTCAGATGTCAGCCCAGAGGAAGCTGTTGGGGCAGCAGCAAGATCCCCTCCTCGGGGGAAGGGGAAAGCTTTTGCAAGCATCTCGGATACATTTATGGGATCTGTGGGATCACAAAACACCGTGTGAGGGAACAGGTAATGGCATTTCCTTCCCCACTTCTGTGAAGGAATTCCACCATTAATTATTGCGATTCCTGCTCATTACTTGCACTTCTCCAGATGGGCAGTGTCCAGCCTGCTGGTTCCCTGGGTTAATCCATCTTTGCTGCAAGGACTGTACTGGGCATCCCAAAATAAATTTCCAGTGCATTTCCCAAAGGGAGCATCTACAGCTGATGCACTGGTGACCACAGCAGACATGATGGGGCCAAGCTCCARGAGCAGCAAAATCCCTCTTGGTCCATATTCCTGTGACATTTTTCCTGCTCCCCCGGCTCCCTGACTCATTACCCGCCAAGGACAATTAAGTCCATTTATTGTGCACTTTTCTGGATGACACTTCTCACTCACTGCTGCAGTTTTCTGATCTGACCTTTCATTTCCCTCCTCCRGTGAGGGATGAGGCAATGGGGTTCACGGAACTCTGCGCACGCTACGGGGCCGCGTTCCTCCACGCGGGAGGCAGCAGCGCTGCTCCTCCTGGCTGGTGGGGTRGGCATTCCTGCTTCACTGGAGCTGCTCACATTTGGCAGGCAGCGCTGCTGAGGGTTTTATCCTACTTGCAGAGCTGTATTTTTGCTAAGTCAAGGGCTGCACAGCCACTGCCAGCAGCTTTGCCTCACTTGTGTTCGCCCACCGCACAAATAAACTTTCCCCTCTGATGAAGGAATCCCAGCGGGCTGCGGAGCAGAGGAGGAGAATTGGAAGTGCTATCTCCACTTGAGCTGTTCCTAATCCCAGCTGCCTGCACAGGCTGCTGCCCAATTCCAGCTCCATATGAAAAGCAGCAGCTGAGTGTCCCAGYCTGACTGCCCATGGCAGTGGTGTTGGCCATGAAGGTCACTCAGGGGCAGGGCAGGGGSTGAGGGAAAGAAGCTGCTGTCTTGGACAGGGGGTTCGTGCTCAGGAGTGGCAGAATAACAGGGAAAGCCTCTTCCCTGCCTTGTCATAACACAGTGTAGCTACTGTAGGCAACTTGTAGGGAGTACAGAATTCCTGCAGACACAGAGATGTGGCCCAACATGCAAATGTGGAAAGAGAACTCAGTGTTTTAGAAAATGAAGCTACCTAAATCCATCTTTTATCACCCCTTTCTTCCCTCACCCAAGCCAAAAGATTACACAATCCAAGGTCTGTGCAGACCTTGGTCCCTTCCCAGGAACAYGCACATGGGTGAGGGCGCTCCAATGTCACGTCACATCCACGTCTCAATAATGCCACTGACTTGTGCCAGTGATACCCACCCCTGAGTGAAGCCAACACTTGATCATGATCAACTTTGTCCCAGATGCAGAGYTGAGCTCCCCGGAGCAGAGAGGACGCTCCAGTGTGCCTTCCCCTCTCACAGCACAGCCTGTGACACACACGTGGCTCCCACTGTCACCTGGTCCCCTGAGTCCCTCTCAGCTGTTGGTCAGCAGACCCCAAAAGGAGCARGACCCTCACCCCCTCCCTGCTGCCCACTCGAGGCACAGCCTGTCCAGTGAGATGGCCAGCACGTGGCCGGAGCACAGCTAATCCCCTAATCCGCAGTTCCTGGAGTTCTGAAAATAACAGAATTATTATTTTTGGAAACAACACATGTTTCTGCCTTCCTATATTAACATCTAATTAAGAAGCCAAATATATTTACMGAGCGCTTTTCCARCTCCCTTTACACAYGGTGTGCTYGTGAATCATCTCCCTACCTGGGGGYAAAGGCTCTTGTGACACGGGGCGCAAATTAACACAGGAGCCAGCTGAAAACAACCAGGGAATCAAGAATTCCTGAAACCAGACCTGATCACAGTACAGGCCACCAGAGCACCAGAAAGCCCAGCAMACCCAGTCTGTGTCTCTTACACCCCTGCAACACCCCCGGGGCAGACAGGGCACTTTAAAGCTCTGTTTCTCCAGTGAAGAACAGCACCAAACACTCCGGTGCCTGCACACTCCAGCTCTGAGCCATCCCTGCTGCAGGGACAAGAAATTCTCCTTGTTGGATCGCTCTTCACCCTCCTCTGAGTTGCAATCCTCAGTCATTAAAGGGCTCTTTTAGGACACTGCCCTGCTCTGCAGCCGCACCATCGCTGCACAATGAACACTTTGCTCCTGGTTCGCCCCCAAAAAGGAACCTGGGGACCCTGGAGCAAAAGGATCATCCTGGCATGCCGGAAAGCCCACAGCTCTCTGAGCAGGGAGAGAAGCAAAGCAAAACTCTGCACAGAAATCATATCAAAGGACTCCAATTTCTTAGTCTGGGCTACTAAAACTTAATTAACCTCATAACCCACCTGGAGATTTGCAAACCATTTCCCRGCGTTCTTTGGACCTTGAAATGTTGAACACAGTGAGGCCCTAAGAGGGACTAATCCTTTCATATAAACTGTTTAACTCCAGGAAAGTAATGCACTTAGTTTGGAATATTCTCTGTTGTGACTGGAAGGGGCAGTCAATAAAGCAATGATTGTGCAAAGAAAAGGAATGGGCAGAGCTCGGCGTCCTGAACCCCTGTTCTGCCCAGCTTCAGTGCTCACAGCAGTTTTAATAATTCATCCAAGAACATCAAAAACTCCACTAGAACCAAATTAACTACTTGTTCCTCACTTGTGATGTATCTGAAGGTTTGCTTCACCGACACCAGAAGCTAAAGTGAGGAACACCACAGAGGAAAAGATTCTAAATAATTCAACTTTCCTACTGGGCTGATGTATTAGCTTGGAGTTCTCAGGGCTGGGATGAATGGATTTAAAGCCAGGGTTGGCACGGGTGCCAGGGTCAACTCCCTCAGAAAAGTGATAAGCAGCAAAATGGAAATCAGCTGGGGTTTGCAGGAAATCTTTGAGAAACTACTTGACCTTTTAAATTTGAGAGGAATGAGCAAATGAATCCCCTCCCTGAATCAAGCAGCAGCTGATGCCTGCACTGGGAGCAGCCAGCACTGGACAGGGAAGGAAAATGTCCAGCCATGAAGAAAAGAAATCYGACCATGTACCAAACACCACCACACAGAGGGACACACACAGGAACCTTTGATACTGGAGCTCTGGGCTGAGTGAGGTCCATCACCCTGACCAGCAAAGGGAAAGGTATTTTATCTGCAGCTGCTGGGTGAGAGCAGCCACCGACCCCACAATGATCACAGATCCATCAGCAGGGGATCCCAAGAGGATTGATGGGGTTATTTCATTTAAATTTGTTGTACCATCTCCAGATGGCCCCAGCACACACAGGGATGCTGAGCCCTCACACATCCCTGGCCAAGAATGCACTGGGGTTTGGGACTGGCCAGGTGGGACACGGGGTGCAAACCACAGCAAACACCAGCTCTGGAGGGGAATGTTGACCCTGCCAGGGGAAGGGAAGGCAAATAGCCTGGCTGCTTGCWGTAGAGACTGGAGGTACAGCTGGATAGATCCCACAACATTTATCCTTCTGCCAGGTCATTTTTTAAAGTATAATTACACCCTGCCTTTAAGTAGCCCAACAGTTKCTGCTCAGGTGTGTTTTTCCTTAAGCCTCTACCCATGCCCTTTCCTTGCCTCTGTCTCTGTCCAGCTGCCCTTTCTACCCTCCCCACCAATGAAGGGCACTGTGTGTTCCCAAAGCCCCTCACCCAGSTCACATCCTCCTGGTGTCACCTCTCAGCACTGTCCCCAGCACCAGAGATGTCCCTGCTCCCATTCCAAGACAGGATGCTGCATTAGCCAAAATGATTTTTCCAAAGGTTTACATCCATTTTTTGTTATTTGCCAAACTTGGAGTCCAAGTTCAAAGGCATTTCTTTAAACCATGCAGGGAGAACACTTCTGCAGCACCAAGATTTTCCTTCTTTGCAGTTCATCACTCCACACAAATTCTTGGATTTTTACACCATGCAGCTTTAAGTTCTAGACACTGGTTACTAAAACCCCTCAACACTGAGCATTACCATGTCGTCATCATTAGGTTTCAGAGCCAACAGTGTCAATGCAATTAGGTACAGCTCATTAACATACTGCCTGCATGCTCTCAGCAACTACAGTTCCAACAAGAGGTCTGCTGCCTCCTTCACAGCCCAGAGCACAGAGTGCTCAGGGCTTCTGTCAAAATACCAGCAAATTTCAGTTCCCATTTCTGGAGTAAATTGGATAGCAAAGATTTAGGGGGCAGATCAAATAAAATTTCCTATCAAAATCATAACAAAAAGCCAATAACACCAGAATTAAATGCAAAGACTCAACATAACCTTCATCTATTCCTTCTGTCCAAACTTCTACACCTCCCAAGATTGTCGTGCCAGGCGGCAGAACCCGGCTCTGCCCGGTGCCCACATGGGCTAACACGGGGAGCTTTGGCCAACCCATTCCTTAGAGGCTGGGCACTCACCAGGAAGCGGACATCGTCGAAGCCGTTCAGGAGCAGCTTGCTCTCGTACTGCTGCAGGCCGATGGACTCCAGCCACTCCCCGACGCTCTGCTCCAGCATCCGCGAACCTGACGAGAGAGGAATCGGCAGCCGCTTGAACAGGGAGAAACCGTTCAGGCGGTAGCAGCGGCACTCTGAGGAGGACAGATGGCATTGCCACATCATAGTCATTACCATAAAGAAACTCAAAAAATTATGCTCAGAGTACAACAAATCAGCGGGCAGACAATTCCTCTTGTGTGCACAGAGCATGGACAACAAGCTCGCAGTGCCTCCGCGGGCTCCGGGCGCAAATCTGTACAACAGTTCACACTCAGAAAAGAAACTCCTCGCCCGGGCAAAGCTTCAGAGGCGCTGCTGGGGCGCTGAGATCACAGGCACTGCTGTCAGGGCTCGCGAGTTCCTCGCCAGGCAAGCACATGAAGCCCAACCCCACGGGGATGCGGATCCACTCCTCGGCTCAGCGGAAGGGGGCGGGAGGAGAGCGGCAAACTTCCACCCGAGGCATTCCCAGGCAGCGGCAGGTGCGAGGGACAGGAGCGGAGCCGKGCCAGTCCTCTCGTCCGCACACCTCTGGATGCAGCCCCAGCTCAGGGGAGAGCACGGAGCAGCCTGACAGAAAGAGCTTCATGCAGCCGAGGCAGCTCGGACACGGCGGACGCTCGGGAAAGCAGCAGGAGCCCAGGCAGAGCGGCTGTCCGCGGGAAGACACRCAAGACAAAGGAAGCACAGACTGCAGCAGCAGAGAGGAAGGGCTCATGCTCTTCCTCCCCAGCAGTCCTGAGACAGGCAAACCASGGCAGGGGCTCCGTCTCGCCGCGACCGTGTTAGGAGGTTTCCAGGCACATGTCCGGGAGCTCTGGCTCTGTCATTCTACCAGCGATCCTGCCGCCTGGCATTGCAGCACGCTGCCTGGAGCTCTTGGCATTCCAGCAGGCTGGCCACAGGCAGCCCAGCCCCACCGCTGCACCCTGTGGCAGCAGAGCTGGGACGGTTCTCACCCAACACTGCTGGTCCYGCCAGGTGTTGGGCGCACACCTGGATTTGCCCTTCCTTCATTTTCTTCGGCCGAGCGCAGCCGCYGCACGGAGCCCCTCGCTCAGCCGGGGAGCAGCTCTGCAGGAAGGAGGCATTTCTGTTCCCTGCTTCCAAGCCACRGCAAAAGGAAAAAAAAGGCAAATGCAAGCACACCCTCTCTTCTTCCTGCAGCAGCTCAAGTCCGAGCCATGCCCTGGCACCTCCCCTCAGCCTCTGATAAAGGAGATTCCTCCCAACACCTACAGGAGCCCTGCAGATGAGCCCTCCCTTCCCACACCCCCTGGGATGAGTCCAGCGACTTGTTACTCTCCTCTGGGAAAGCTCAAGACCTTAAGTATGACCAAAAAAAAGTTCAGAGATGTCCTTTTCATCGGGGAATTTACTATGCAAGACAGGCAGATTTTCAGGCTCCCTGGCACGTCTGTGAAGAAAAGGACGATCTGGAGAGCCCCGTTTGCTTCCTTTGAACCTTCAGGTCAGCTGAAGCAGTTTGGTACCTTGCAGCCATCCCTCCCAGCTCTGCTGCAATGGCTGCACACACAGAGCTCGCCGTGTCCTCTGCAGATCCCTGGGGTAATTCCTGCTGTCTGCTCCAGGGGGTTTCTCCCGTGCCGGGTATTTGGGAGCGCCGGCCGGTCCTTCCAGCACACGCGGCAATGCCGAGATCACAAAAGGCTTCTGCCTCCGTCCCCTGAGCCAGCCCGTGCTGYGGGGCACCAGCTCAGCCCGGACTGTGTGCCCGGAGCTCCCGCTCGCCCGCTCTCCATCCTCCCCTCCATCCTCGTCCCCGCCGGTCCCTGTGCTCCGCTCCGCCGGCGGCTGCGGCGGCGGCTTTGTCTGAGCTCAGCCGGCGAGCCCCACGCTCCACGCTGTCCCTCCCTTCTCCTCCTCATCCTCTCCCCCCTCCCGGCGCTCCCACCCGCCGAGAGGGAGGCAGCGGCTCCGTAACTCTCCCGTGGAAATCACTGACTCCTCAATATTTACTCGATGATGGACAACGCGGCTTGGGGGTTTTAAAAAATGATGTCACAGGTCTGCTTTGACAGATCCAAGTGATTTGTGGCTGGSTCAGAATTAATTTATCAACAGAGAGGTGAGGAAGTGCTTGCTGCCTACCACAGCATTCCAGAGAGCTGTTGGGGTATTGGCACGGGCAATGAAACCACAGCAGCTCCTTCCCCYGAGTTCCCGAATTTAATTTTTAAAATTATTTACTGTATTCAGCCTTGCATGCATTTGCAAATGCATTTCTGCTTTTAAAAGGGAAACCTACATTGACACCAAGTGGAGGTTTTCTGTTTACAAAACCCCTTCAGGTCATGAGAAAATGAAGAGGGACAAGTGTTTAGAGGGAGGGAATGGAGTGATTTCCTTTAAAAAGAGAAGAGCAGGTAAAAATAAAGACGCCCCAAATRCACCCGATATTTGTGTGTTACAAGGATGACACAAGAACAGAAGAATCACGGTACTTGTGCCCCCTGGCAAGATGCTGATCACAACTTCTGACTGAAACAAACTCCTCTTTCTCAGCTCCATCCTTCCCCTCRTGCTCCACATCCTGGGAATCCTGCCTTTAGGAGGCCTGCAGCTGGCAGAGGGGGAACSAGCGGGCAAGAGCTGGAACCATGAAGGCATTCCCAAAGCTCACAGACAGAAGAACAGCAGTGCACTGCCTCCTGCAAGGCTCTTCTCAAGTCCCASAGCACAGAGAGAAGAACCTGCCAGTGCTCAGGAGGTGCTTTCAGATGTTATTGTTTCAGTGATGGCCTTTATTGTGGAGCTTGCACCTGTCTGGAGGATTAAATCAGTTCGTGGGCTGTACCAGACCAACATCTCACCACTTGCTTGGGGACATTTGGAGTAGAGAGACACAAACATCTGTTCCAAAGCCTCCTTTAAGGCAGGTGGAAGCTGGTATCCCTACAGTGATGGTGTTCCTAGGCTGTTCAAGCTCTGAGAAGCCCTTGCCAGCCCWTACCCGCTGCTTTCCCCAGACACGAGGCAGCTGCACACAGAAACTGCTGGTAAAAACAGCTCCAAACACACACAATAACTGCCAACAAGACGTTTCACCTTTCCAGACCCCAAACTAGTTAGAAGCCTCAGTATCTTTAAATATCCTATTTTTTGAGGCTGAGAGAGCATTTGGGAAGCTCCCTGCAGCTCCCTGCACATTTACCATGACCTGAAGCATTACAGCAGATCCACAAAGCCCTGAGGAGGAAAACCCTAACGTGTGGGAGCTCCCAGCAAGGGAGTGGGAGAGCCCTGCTTGCTCCAGGGAAAGGAAGGACAAACAGGGAATGTGCCCAGCAGATGATTTGTACTCGAGGGATCCCAAACTGAGCGTGACAGAGCAGAGAAAACCCCCGGCTCCAGGACACGGCAGCTCCCGTGCCCACCTGCTGCAGGGTGTCCATCTTGCCGAGCACTCCCTGCACAGCTGCAGGTCTGCAGGARCGCTGGCTCCTCCTCTCCCCTCCATGTCAGACCTTTCCCTGGCGCTATTGATCCATCAGAGCCCGGACCGGCACAGGGAGGGCTGTCAGAGCAGGGACCCCGAGCACAAACCCACACAGAGCTTCAACTCCTCTGCAGAGCCACCTACCCCAGCATGCAGAGCCTGAATTGGGGTAAACTCCCACTGGGAGCAGTGGGTTCTTTCTCACCTCAGCAAAAACCTGAGTGACAAATGGATATGAGGTGAGCTGTGTCACAGCCTGTGTGAGCTGCGTGTGCGGAGCTGCATTAGCATCTCATCAGGAGGAGCTGCTGCCCACCCGGAGTCAGAGCTGTTCTGCTGCAGCAGTGTGGAGGTGAAGGATTTAAAAGGACAGAATCCCTCGTGGTGGCAGCTCTCCAGCAAGCTTGAGTTCTGCTTTTGCTCACGTTTCAAAGGCAGAGAAGGGAATTCACAGTTTAAGTGAGTATGTGGTTATCAATACCTACAGATGCATTCAGAAATGCCCAGATCACCCATCCTGAAGCAGATTAACCCCGTCCAAAGGGCATGGTCACCACGAGACACACACTGACCCACCACTGGCACCACCCAGCACACTCAGCACAGCTGCTGCCCTCACAGAACGAGCCGGGAGGACAATCCTGCACCTGCATTCTGTAAAATGAATCTTCCCAAAGAGCGTTGGGTTAAAATTGCTGGCAGCAGCACCGAGCATCATGTGGGAACCTCTGCTCCTCCCGTGCCACAGCATTCCTGTCCCTCCCAGAGCCAAAGCAGGGTAAAGAGATCCCCATGCAGGAGGAAGCACCTCGTTTGTGTGCAGAGCACAGCCAGGACAGACGGACACATGCTGGGTACACTACCTGAGATCCTGTGCTGCTCCTGGGAAAAGTCAATGCCTTCTCCGATGGAACTCATGATCTTTTCAATCTGGAAATACAGAAAAACTCGTGTTGTATTATTCACAAAGCCTCAGGAAAAGAAGGCAGCCCAGGATTTCACCTCCCACGTGACAGGTGAAGAAGAGGAGGATGTGATGATACCTCTGAAGCAGAGGAGGTACCCTGAACACCTTGCCTGGGTGAGTCTTTGTTGGGATGGATGGCTCAGAAGGGATGTGCAGAGGTTGAGGCTCTGCAGAGCCTTCCCTTCTACAACTTCCCAGTGACTGGAAATAAAAAACTTCAACAAAACCAGCCCTCTGGGCACAGCCTGGGGGTAAGGAAGGAGCCCCAAACACCYCAGCTCACCCCACATAAACCCCCTCCAGCGGCAGCAAAGCCACAGCAATGCTGTCACCAACTCCTTCCAAAMAAGCAGACTGCAAGCTTGGCTTTTCCACACTCACTTTTGTTGGGCATTTTTTGGTTTATTTTTTAAACCACTACATTTTCCAGTCTGTGCACGGAGCTGTGCTCCCATGGAGTAGGTGCTTCCAAAAGGTCTGAAAATAGATCATTTGGGATAGCAGAATCAGGGGGCAAATGCATGAAGGACCCAGGAGAGGGAGCAGGAGGCAGCTCCAACTCTGGTGGAAGTGATTCACAGCCCACAGCTCCAGGCAAACCTCAGGCAATGAGGAAGAAAAGGTACAAACTAAGCTGGAATGGGTCTGAGTCCACTTAAGAGCTGCATAGAAATAGCTGCATTTGCCACACACACAAAAGAATAAATTAATCCAAGTTGCAATTTCCTGTGAACCTGCAGGAGATTTCCTTAAATGAGAAGAGAAATTTTCTTGAGCAGAATTTTTAAATAGAGGTTTCCAGCGAAGTGGTGCAGAGGGAGAAATGAAAATTACCAGGTTTGTAAGAGGAAAGACCTGATAAACTGCACCTCAGTTGGTCAGTTCAGACCCTTCARTACTCTCAGCACTGATCCCCACTGTTTCCCAGAAAGCAAGAACACACTCAAGAGGCTCAGGGTCGGTTGTTTACCCCACTTTTCAGTCTGTAACT